TGAATTGCTTGTCTACATGGTATGTGTTACAGTAACTTTTAAAAAACATATACTTTCCTCATTGGATTGCTTTCATGTCCTTCTCAAAAATCATTTCACATGGCATCAAGAGATATTTATGTACTGTAAATTCTGTTCCAATTGCCTAAATGTATATATTTGCATCAAGACTATGTTATCTTTAAAACAAAGGTTTTGTTGCATGGCAAAATTTTTAAAAAGTAGACTGCAGTCATGATTATATTATATTGTTTTGGTTATGTTTTGCTTTGTAAATAGTCTTGAAATCAGATGGCTTCAAACCTACAGTTCTGTTTACTTTTTCTAAAGTTTTAATCAAATGCACCTTATTCACACATTACATATTTGTGACTTTGCTTACTTGCTAAAAATTGACTTATATCTCCAAATCAATACTCTTGTCATTTTCTACCATCCATAGATACATTGTGGGGTAGGGAAAACACCAACTCCCCCAATGCATTTGCCCCCAGCTGAGGCAATTTCTGCTCTGTTTGCCTTCTCATTTCCATTCTTATCTTGTAAACACACAAGTTGCTTTCGGTCTATCTAGTACCACATTTTTGTGCATTTCCTTGGTGACTTTGCTGTTTGAAACGGTTCTCCAGAGTAGTATTGTCTAGCGTTCCTAAGTGCAAGAAGGCTACAGTGTGCAGTGTGGGGCAAAAATGAGTGTGCTACCTAGATAAGCCTCATCAGGCACAGCTAATGGTGTGATTAGCTGTAAGTTCAATGTCATCGAACCAACAATATTTACTCAATAAGGGTTCCTTAAATAGAAACGCAAGCAAGAGCCGGGCGTTGGTGGCGCACGCCTTTAAGCCCAGCACTCGGAAGGCAGAGGCAGGAGGACCTCTGTGAGTTTGAGACCATCCTGGTCTACAAGAGCTAGTTCCAGGACAGGCTCCAAAGCCACAGAGAAACCCTGTTTCAAAAAACTTAGAGAGAGAGAGAGGAGAGAGAGAGAGAGAGAGAGAGAGAGAGACACAGAGAGAGAGAGACAGAGAGACAGAGAGACAGAGAGACTGAGAGAGAGAGACTGAAAGCAAGCTCCAAACAAGAGCAGCATTGGTTGTCTAGTGTTTTGCATGTGACCTAGTATGTTTCTATGACCAAACACTTGTGACAAGACAATCAGACCCACCGGTGAGCACAGGAAAGAGTGAGGGAAAGCACTTTTTAGAGAACATGAGGTGCGTCCTGACATAATCCACATTCCCTTTTTACTGGGAGATTATCCAGATACATTCAGAGTAGGATAATAAAAATGGAACCTAGCTGTGTCTCATTTCACCTCAGACCCCGGGCAAGGAGTTCCGCAGGGAGGCAGCATATAAGCAGGGGTCACTGGTGCTCAGGTTTGCCCTGGTACCCCATCTCCTATCCCAG